CTATTTTCAGATTAAGTACTGAACAGCATTTACTTTTGGCATCCTATTCGTTCGTTATGAGAGAATAAAAATAACACGAAGACTTACAGGAAACTATTTAAACCGAGAGCATCTATCTCATGATCTGCATAGTTTTTTTTTATTTAAACGGTGAAAAATTTTCAACATTTTATTAAAACATAGAGTAAAGAATCAAGAATAAATTTAAAAGTATAAAGGTGATAGCCATTTGTTAAACTAATTTAAACAGTATTAACCTTATATTAAAAATGATTGTCTGTTTCCAAAACTTGCATTTATTTATTATTTCTGAACAAAATCATGCAATTTAGAAGAGGGAAGAAATAGAAGCAGAGTTGAAAAGAGAATCAAGATATAGTTTTTTTTTTTTTACTGATTCTATCCTAGTTTTCTTAACAATGTTTTATGTACTTGTATGTATTTAGTTAAAAGTTTATCTGGCAAAACCGGATCAAATTTCTGGGATTGTTAATATCTACCACAAATTAGAAATTCATTTTGCAAAAATCCAGTTTTTTAAATTCCATTAAATGGAGCCAGACGTTGTGAGTAGAATGGATGATCTGTGCATTCAAATACTAAATTCTTAAAAAAACATCCATCATCTTAACAGCTCTACAAAAAGATTGCACCTTTCTGCAGCTTCCCTCGTTGTTTTTCTTTCAACGATGTTTGGCCATTCTGGAGATAGTCAGTCAACAAAAAAATAAATAAATAAAAATTGGGGCATTCCTTCTGTTGAATTTCTTAGGTAATATAGAATCCAAATGTTCCCACTGCATAAGCTGTTGTTTAGTCTTTGGATCCTAGTAGTATAAGTTATTCAACAAAGTTATAGTTGAAAATCGCAAATACAAAATCAAATTGTAAGCTTCTTCTGGTTGAGATTCCAAAGTTTTGATATCTTTAACTTGTTAGAGAACTTTTGCATTACCAACTGCTTGCGAATTATAAATATCTTTCCTGGATATCTTTCGTTTCACCGATATTCGTCTATCAGCTTAATTAAGTCATCAACACAATCAACATTTTCAGGAGTTGATACCATGAAATGTTTTTCAAACTATGCCGCAATCTTGGGTCTCAAAATTTTCATAGCTAAGTATAACAACTTTGTCACCAAAAGTTTGCAGGACTTCTTCAGTGTTTTCTTCTGTCGTAACAAAAATTCGTGACAACACTTGTAAATTCCACGTTTTCCAATTGACATGAACTTTTCAGAAAAAAGAAAAGAATGCATTTTGACATAGATTTGAACACGTTTTAAATGTACATATTCTATAAATCTCTTTAATTAAACTAAACTAAAAATTTGCAACTAAAATGTCTCAGCACATTGGCGTAAGTGATGCAAAAAGATTGTGTCTGAAATGTTCTCTACCTACAGTAGTTAAAATAATTGCTTGACAAATTATACAAGTTGAACTATTGGGAAAATGGTAAAAAATAAAGAAACCTTTAAAATATCTATAAACTTTAAACTCTATAGGGAATTGGTTTATAGTAGGAAAATGTTCAAAACTGGGAGATTTTATTATATGCTTTTTCTTCGCATTAACAGCTGTCAAACAAAACACTGAAATATTTAACTTTCGAAACAATTGCTAGATTTCAATCCATATTCTCAGATTACATAGTGAAATCCATTACATTGTCCCGATAAAAATAAAATATATATATATATACAAAAGGACTTGCTCATCACTTTAAAGAAAATAAATAAAAATATATTATTTATTTTAAACCTTTGAGTCAGTTTGTTTTATGTCCTATATTTCAGATAAAATGATTATCCTACCACCTATCTACACTGGTGATTTTCCAACGTGATGCACATGCCACATTGGTGAACTCCGACGTGATATGAACACACAAACTTCTAATGTGAACGCACAAATTGAAATCATCGGAACTTTGGACACACCAAAAATTTCCAGGAAAAAGGAAGGTTTCATCAGATTGAGAAGTAAGCAAAAGTAAGCAAAGTAAACAAAACATGTCATCACCAAGAAGACCTTATGAAACAAGCAAGCAGAAATTTTCTCTTATCTATCTATCTATCTATCTATCTATCTATCTATCTATCTATCTATAGTTTTTCTCACTCTACCATACCATATATATAAACATGTCACTAGAAACGAAAATACAGCAGGTTAGCATTAAACCTCCCAATTTTTGGAAACGATCATGGCTGGTTGGTTCACTATCATAGACGCACAATTTCATCTCCAGAATGTTACAGCCGAGGAAGTAAAATATTTTACATTATTTACATTGTCCGGACTGTTGTCCTCATCTTTATTGCCATGTTCACGACGTTTCGGCCATCTTCAGGTGATTGGAATTTCGAACTGAACTCGTTATTTTTTAACAAGATATTATACAATCATAAGCGCCCTACCTTTTGATGTACTTTCAAAGTTACCAATATCTATCTTACAGTCAAAAGATTATGGACAGTTAAAACAATTTGCGTTACAACTCTCCACTAAAGAGAAAAGTACCAAAATAGAACCTTCTGCGCAAAATCAAAACAGTTTGTGGCTCTACGACCTTTCCACCCAAATCAAAGGCCAAAAGTATGTAGAGCACATATTGACTACGCAGAACAGCCAGGGACATGTAACCCATGGCGCAAATGGAAACAAAAGAAACACAATGTACAAATATCACAAAATTCTCGTCCCGCCTCTCCCAGCCCTAATGAGTCAGAAAAACTATTTGCGTATTAGGTCTATCAGGTCTGCTACTTTTAAAAGTCAGCCGCTCAAATTCTCCAAAGTTTTCTTCTGATAAAAATACGGAAACTAAAAAATTATCTCAACGGGAGCAAAAATCTTCTGCAAATAAGCCCTCTGCTGCTTCCACCGATTCAAAAACTTCAAAATCACAATCCGATACAAGTGTGGCTGATTTATCTAAAACATATGCTAATAGCCGAATGGTCTGATCTGCATCTTTGTAATTATCGAAGTATATGAACTTGGAGGTTGTAACAAACAAGTCTTCACCCAGATCCTACAAAGATATATCCAGCCTTGGAGGAGATTCTATGAAGTATGGTTCTGCTCCCTACAGTGGGTACAAAATATTAATTCCAAAATCACTGAATTCCTGCGACTAAATAAGCCTTAATGTTGATCGAGTCAGAAAATATTTAGAAGCGCCCAGTACGGGGCCCGATAAAGCTCTGACACGGCCAAATAAAAATATCATGATTGATATGAACAATGGAATCCATATACAAGTATCAATTAGGTTAAAACCTTATAAAGGGCCGGCTAAAGATAAATTAAATCCCAGTAAAATAAATAAAGCAAACAAAATCTAATACAGCAGTCAACAAGAATATCAATAATAATATCTATTATAATAGTGAGTCTATAAGTATACTAAACTATAAGTGGAAGAAAAATAATGGCATCTTTTATTTTTAGTATTTCTTTTCACTTACTAGCCCTGCTTCTTGGTGGGGTGGACTATTTGTAGTGAGTCCAGATAAAAATAAAATATAAAAATAAAATATATAAACAAAAATAAAAAGAATTCAAATTAAAATAATGCATTTGCGATTTCCTTTAAAATCCTCATCTCTCTCTCTCTCTCTCTCTCTCTCTCTCTCTCTCTCTCTCTTGCTCTAAATTTCTCAACTAACGGGAATGCAACCCCTAAAATAAAAAAGACGATTAAGAACAAAAGACTGAACCTAAAACATCCGAAGTTTGCAGACTGTGACTGAAATATGCCAAAAAACAGGAAAACTCCACGCATTATTTCCGTTAAAAAAAAAAAAAATTAAAAAAAAAAAACGCCGGAAAGTAAAATAATATGGCCAATCAAAAAATGGTATAAAAAGACTTTTTGATCTTAGCCGAAACCAATGTTTGCAATAAATTCTCGGACCTGGTCAAAAGACATAAAAAACGGATGACAGAAGAGGACAGAACAAAAGACACAATCATGTATGACGCACGAAGGAGCAGTTAAGAGGTCATCTGCGACTGACATTTCCGTCTTGTTCAGAGACGAGAAAAAAAGCAGATTGAAACTAACGTAATTTCTCACATTATTACCCCTATCATGGTCTTAAAAACGACCACTAACGGATATTTCTCCAGACAAATATCCCCTCCCCACCGGATTAACGAACTTTTTACTACGTCGAATACCAAAAGTCTTGCTCATCACTTTAAAGAAAATAAATAAAAATATATTTATTTTAACCCTTGAGTCAGTTCGTTTTAAGTCCTATGTTTCCGATAAAATAATTATCCTACCACCTACCCACAGTGGTGACCTACCCACAGTGGTGACATACCCACATGATACACATGCCATAACCTCAAGCCTAATATTGAAAGTAATTCCTTCATTTTTAATTATATTTTAACCGGTAGCTAACTGCATCAACTTAGAAGAAAATTAAATCGCTCTTTGCTGAAGAGTCATTGAGTCAACGAACAAATACTGGTGTGATTCTTTCCAAGAAATACACGACTTTTTAACTTGAGGCATGGATGGCATAGATACTGTAGTAGATATATGAAGTGCCGCTTCACATATCTACTACAGAATCATAAAATGGCCTGTTTATGACAGTTTAAATAATTCTATATTACTTTCTATTTAGTCCCATTGTTAAATATAAATGGTTTCATACGTTTTTGTCGACTTCGTTTCCTTCGTGCATAAAATAAACAATTTTGGTTATGAAATATTAGTGTATTAACATTTATTTACAGGATAGAAAAGCTTTCTTGTGGTCGTATGTTCTATGTATATTTTATAGATTATCCACTAGTATTGTGTAGAAATAATATATAAATATTCATTTTTTCAGTCTGATTTTCTTTAACATCTTTCGTTGTTGCTCATTGAATGCTGCTTCTCTCATAGCGCGAAAGAGGACGTTTTTTTAGCAGATCTTTAAATCAGTTACTATGGAACTATCGAAAATTAAACGACTATTCATTTACCTTCAATTCCCATTTCTTGCAGTCCATTCAGAATCTTGTTGACGCATGAACCTGCAGCGCCGCCATCTTCAGCCTTTTTAGGAATTTCTCCAACAGGTGTGCTACTATCCATTTTATCAGAAGGCGTTTTTGATTCCTTTAATTGTTTCGGTGGAGATTTTGGACTCTGCCCACTCTGTTTCTTCTTTGAATACTAAGCATAAAACAGAAAGGAAAACGATTAATATAACAAGAAACGGAGTATTGTATTAATTTATATTTATATTAGTTCATATATAATTATTTCTCATTTAAATGTTTAACATCTACTGTAGACTCATATAACTGATAGAAAGAAGGTTTCATCCTTATCATTGGATAAAGCTTTCGACCAATTCACTTGAGAGAAATAATGTTTAGATCACATTGCAGTAAGTTTAATATTTGAAAAAAGAAGCATAAATATTCTTATTAACATACAAGTTGCTGCATTGCATATTAAAAAGTGAAGCACGAAAATAATTTTTATACTTTAATTTTTTTTTAATTTCGCAGTATCTAAATTTTGATGATCAGAAAATGAATATAGAATCATATAACGACGAGATTGAAATACAGAACAAGTTCTTCATTTCTTTTTATTTCAGTTCTGACAATTTGAAGACAAGGAATAATTTTGTATAAGCAAATTTCTCATGCAAAATCCGAATTTGCAAAAGTATAAATACAGAGGCGCTAACAATTATCAAAATTGCCAGTAAAGCGTTCTGTTTCATATTTTATTGGAAACAGATAATGCGATATCAAAATAAAATATGAATAATATACGATGCACTTTTAAAAAAATTGATATTTAGTCAGCTTTTGGGAAGTTTATATCAATATTTGGACATATCTATTTTGTTTGGGAAGATGTCATTGGTTATTGATTGATTGATTCTTTTTCTACGTCTTATCAACTCTTTGCAGGTTATATAAAAGCCGGAAAATATTTTTTAACTGTAAGAATTTTTTTAAGATAATAATGGTTTAGTGATACAAGTCTTAGTCTTACTAATTAACCCATAGCTGGGGAAGTACATGAGTTGAATTTATAACTTTCCCAAGGTTATTTGCGTGTAAGTGAATATAACAAAGCTAACAGGAATTGAAACTCAGCTCTTCGATTAAAAATTTTAAGTCATTATTCATTACACCACCCGCACATCCAAGCTTACAGCACCTGGTATTTCCAAGAGGTCACCAATCTAGGTACTGACCAGGCTTAACTTCGGTGATTTTACGGGAACTGCTGTTTCAACATGATGTGGCCGTCAGCCTTTGGTGGTTATTAAGAAATTTTAAATAATATTCATAATAAATTAGGTAAGATCTGCTGTTTTAAAAAATATGTGTAATTTAAAATAAATTGTGGTTCAACAAAATCAAATCGATTGAAATTTTTAACTAATCTAAAATGAGATTCTATAAATTACATTAATTATATGAATATACATTTGGCAAATTAAAATGACTACTAACCAAAGCATTTAATTTGTATCCTTGAGAAGAACTATTTTCCTGTATCAGTTATAGTTAACTGATACAGGAAAATAGTTCTTCTCAAGGATACAAATTCATTTCTTTGTTTTTAGTTATTATAATAATTGTTTCAAACACATTTTCTGAAAGAGAAATAGCTAAATTGAAAATGTGCAGAAGTAGCTAAAATGAAGGACACAAATAGAGTGGGCGTGCGCAAAATATCAAGGAAATAACTGGACAGAAAATGTACTCTTTACCAGGATGTATGTACAAGAAATACATCGACAAATCCTTCCATGAGAATAACGAAAAAAGTCTACAATTGATAAAAGCGTGGGAAGACTTGTGATAGTAGAATCTAAAGTAAGAAGATCGATGATCAGGATGAAGAGGTACAAAGCAGCAGGACCAGACAAGATTGTTATAGAGATGCTGACATCCTTAAATGACTTTAGGCTCGATAAGGTTACTTAAGTTTTAAATGTAATCTACAAATATTTAGACATCTAAGTAGATCATTTTTAACAATGTTACTAGCGAAACTTTTTGTAAATGAATACAAGTTACATCGAACAATCAGCTTGTTTATCCACATAAAAATATTAGTAGAGACATGAGAAAAACTCGAAATAGAGGAAGAACAAAATGTAGTTTTGTACGAGACATTGGAAGAAAGAAAAGCTATATTTTTTGTCAGATTTCTGCCAGAATGAGCAATAGATAGAATGACTTATGCCTGCGTTTCATGGATTATTCGATAAAGGATGAAACAAAGAATTTCTTGAAATGTTAGAAATGTTTGGCTTACAAGGAAAGAATATAAAAATAATCCGCGATATATATATATATATATATATATATATATATATATATATATATATATATATATATATATATATATATATTGGCAAAAAAATAATTTGAATGCAAATAGACAATAAACTAGACGAGTACACCAACATAGAAAGAGAAGTGCGACAAAAATGTGTTTTCTCACTTGATTTATTTAACCTGTACGGCAAGAGAATTAGAAGATTTACCACGATTTATTATCAGCAAACGTAACCATAACAAAATGTGCGATGCAGATGACATTGTGTTGATTGCAGATTTACAAGGCAAACTAAAAGAACTATTATGTCTCATAGTTCTAAATCTCTATTTTTGTCCTTCATAGTCAAGGAAAACGAGAAGACTTAGCATTAATTATAAGAATACGGTATGTATGGTGGTGTCCAAAATGTGAGTTACACGTTGGGTTATACGTTGAAGATGTCAAAATTAAACAAATACATAAATTCAAACATCGGCGCAGTATAATAAAAGGCGACACAGAAAAATCGAAGGCGCTTAGGAATAGAGAAAAAGACCTTTCGGAAACGGAATAAGGCACTAAGGGGCTAAAAATAACATTACAAATGAAGAAATGAGCGTTAGATCGTTATGTGGTATCTACACACCTGTTTGACAATGAAAGCTTGACAATTTCGTCACACGAAATTATCAAGCGAAAGAGCCTGAAGCGATGGAAATGTGGTCATGCAGACCACATTGAGAATAACATGGAGAGAGCACGTGAAAAAGAGTTTTTTTTTTAAGGAACTAGAAACTGGAAAGAAACTGTTACTGACAACTAAAAATAAACAGCGAGAATTTCCTGAACATATAATGAGAAAAAAGGCTTGAAGAATTTAACACGCACAAGGCACATCGAAGACAAAAGAATAAGAGAAAAACAGCAAATAATCTTACATGAAAAGTTTGTGAAAATGGAGTGTGGAACAATTACCATAAAGAGAAAGACGGATCATAAGAAGAAAGTATTGTTGAAAACAACAAAACACAGGAAACAATGAAGAGCCATGAACCCGAAGAGAGATAGAGGGAGAGAGGGCGGGAGGGAGTGAGGGAGTGAGGGAGAGAGGGAGGGAGGGAGTGAGGGAGAGAGAGAGAGTTTAAAAATACTGAGTCTAATCCTTTCAAATTAATTTAGTAGTTTGGACGAAACGAGACAGCCAGGTCAGTTTGTAATAACATTTTTTTAGGTTTAACCATTGTTCAAAGTATAAATCAATTTATGGCGTTATTTGGATGTAATGCATTTTGGTTTCGCAAATAGAAATTAATGTGTTGATTATTTCTTACATTCTAAGAAATTTACAGTCCTCATTTGAATCATATTGACCTCAGCTTTATAAAATAAACATTAAATTTATTGCATTATTAAATTGATTTAATCACTAACGAATTTTATGAATATTCTAACGTTAAGATGAATTGCCAATACATAAAACTGCAAATATAAAAAATACTTGTTACCAAACTTGGAAAAGTTTTCTTCAAAATTTATTAAGTAGATAATGGCTAGAAATGTGAGCACTTTCTTATGAATATTTTGAAGTTAAATTTATATGCGTACAAAAAAAGTTCTATTGTCAATTTTGTTAGTTTTCTCTGCTACTGACCTCACGTAACTTGTCGCATTTAGAGATGGAGATCGACAAAGAAAATTGTATCGACAACTAATTTTTGTGTTTTTTCGGTCTCCATTTTTATCAAATGGCGTGAAAGACAGGATGTCAGTGCCTGACGCTCTATTCTAGTGTTTTTGTGTTCTATTTACCGTATTGTCTATACCCATAATTGTAACTAATGGAAAATAGAAGAAAATGTGGATTGTGGCACTTAAAATCACACGCACGCACACACACATACTCACACATGCACAATTACGTAGTGTTCCGTAAATAAATTTTACTTGAATACAGCAGCAATTTAGTACTTGCTGATGTTTATCGAATAAAATTAAAGTGATATACTCTATTTATTTATGTACAATAACGCTACTATTGTAACACTATTGCTATACGAGAGGATTGTTTTATCAGTAACTACTAAGCAAGTATCTGCCAGCTGTATACACAACGTAGTACCTATTTAGTTGATAGAAATAAACAAAATTGCCAAAATATAAAATTTGCGTATAAGGCGAATTCTCATGTAACATTTGACTTTATACAAAATTACTCGTACACCAATATATAGGTAATTTTTTCTTGGAATATTAGATTATCTAAAACTTGTTAGGTAACCATCAATTGCAAGAAAACAAATGGTCATCAGCAAGAGAAAAAGCCCAAGATGCGAGTTACAAATTGAAAATAAAACATCAAGCAGGTGCAGAATTTTAAATATTTGGGAAGTGGAACAGAGGATGGAAAATGAGACAACGAGATTCAAACACGAACCCAACAAGAAGCATTCCAAAACCTAAGCATGATGCTGAGAAACGGAAAAAAATCATTAGAATCAAAGAAAAGAATGCTGGATTGCTATGTGATATCCATCTTCTTATATGAAAGTGAATGTTGGACAATTTCCCTCAGGAAAAGTTAGAGGCAGTAGAAATGTGGTTCTACAGAAGGATATTGGACATTTCACGAACAGAGTGAGTAAGCAACGCGAAAGACTTAAAGAAAAAGGCAACAGAAAAAGGCACTTATACTTAAAATCAGAGAAAGACAGCTGAAATTTAATAATGAGGAAGGAGGTTTGGAAAACTTAACACTCACGGGGCATATTGAAGGCAAGAGCGATAGGGGAAAGCAATGTACCACATATCTGACGAGCTTGTTGAATGGATGGTGGAATGGGGGGTGAAGGCTAGAGCAGGAGGTGGAGGAGGAGGAAGAGAAAAAGTAAAAGAAGAGGAGGAGGAAGAAGAGCCACACTGAAAATTGCCAAACCTATTTAATTAAGTTTATTATTTTCTTGGATGTCTCCATTGCACAAACTACTTTTTGTTTAGAAATGTTTTATGCTTCTATTGATATGATTTAAAATTTGGCCAATTTGCCGATTGAATTTCTTATGAACTATTATGGATGAAAGATATATCCTAAGTATTTATACTTAGGATATATCTTTCATCCATAATAGTTCCAAACACATAAACACACACATATACAAACACAATCACACACACATGATATCGAACATTTAGTAAGTTGATCGATTTCTTCATTGTTCAACTCTTATCTGAATTACAGTTATTATTTTGTTAGCCGAATGTAAGGAGTGGTGCATCTAATATTAAATTAATGAAACTTAAACATCAATGTCCATAATCCTAGCATTTCAAGTTTTGAATTTTTTTTAACGATTGAAGTTTTCAACTAAACCTAGGGAGTTTTTTCAATTGGTTGTCACTAAAATAAATCTATTTTAGTGTTAGCCAATCGATTGAAGTACTTCATGTTGAGTTTAACACGTGCTCTAATTCAAATAACTTCAAAATGTCCCTGTAATCAAATAGTATCCCTACTTTGTAGTCAAATCTAAGTTTTTTCTCGACATCTTGCGATGGCAGAACTTCCACATTGTACGGGTTTGTTAATTTCGCCAGAATCTATTCATAATCTATATTTTGGCAGATGAATCCTCAAATTCTTCGTTGATGCACAGTGTAATCGTTTTATAGCTCAGCTCTTAGGCTACAGTCAGTCGAGACCATAAAACGATATCTGAATTCTCAATTCAAGTTCTACCAAAAATTTGATTTTCACTTCTTAATCTCAACTCATCCACTCTAATGATCTTCTACACCTTGTAGCGATCTGCTGTAGAACCATCCCATTGATGAAGGTAATAGCGTCGTTGCTAGTGGGAAGGGGATCATTTTGAATGACTTCATCCCACCAATCGTCATTTGTGCCTCTAGGTATTTGCAAGAGCAGCAAGACCCCTTTGGACATTGTTGAATGTTGTCCTATTTTGCTATATGCAGTTCAAG